AAAAAAAAAAAAAAAAAAAGAAAAGAGAACAAGTCAAAATGCTATTCTCTTCAATTCTTTTAGTTTTCTTCTACCTTTATACGTATTGGGAAGGGAAATTTATAAATATTTACGGTTAACTTGAAAGCCACAATGCAGTGATGAAAAATTCATAACCTTTCAGTTTTTATAGGATTGATTAGTACGTCCAGTAAAAAAAAGGAAAAAAAAAAAGTGGTTTCGTGAGACCTCTGATGATGAAGATCAAAAATGATTCTCAAGATGAAATACTGTGTTCTGCCTTTCAAATCCATCTCCTTATAGCTTTGCTGAGTTAATAAATATGGCTCTTTTGGCAGCAAATGTTACCGCTCTGTGCTTCTAATTCCAGAGCACCATGTTATAGTATTGTACAAGGTTAACCAGTCTAACTTTAAAAATGTGGGTTTTAAACTCTGTGTGCCCTACTATCAATCATAAATGCATTTTACATGCCCCATAGTTCTTGACAGGAAAAATGTGTGCCTGTAAGTACTCCATAATTTAGCTTATGGAGGTCCAACCCCAGTGAAAGGTGTACAACTGTCATGCCCAGAAGCCATCATATCTGAAATCTTTTCAGCTGCATGGCTCATAAAGCAGATTCTAAATCACTTCCTATAATGAAACTGCATCCCCATAAAAAATCTCAAAGGTTAAGACCCAATTCAAATGGAGGAGTAGCCCCAATAAGAACCCTGAATCAAATAAGTATGCCTATTTTTTGGTCTTAAAAGTCTATTTAATTTAAGGGAAAATGTACATAAAAATAACCACTTTTAATTTTATTTTTATTTATTTTATTTTTACTAAATAGCAAAATGTTATGACAACTGAGCCCCAATAAGCCAACAAATTTTGTGTTTATTAAGTAACTTTTATCTTGAACTAAGAGAAATATATGAGTATCATGTACATTTTTTAGGCTCAGTAAACACCTGTATGTTATAACAATCGCCATACTGATATTTTATGGACCAGGACATGGGCCCATATTACACTTATATTCAAGAGTTAGATTTGCTTTTCAAGATTCCTCGTTATAATCAACCTAGTTTAGGAAAATTTTGTTAGATCCTCCATTCTATCTCTTGATCCTCTCAAGTTCCCTCCACCCCCAATCCAACTGGTTATCTGAGATCATTCACTCTGCAAAATATGACTCTGCCTGCCAACAGGTGGCTTTAGGTCCAGTCTGGAGTGGTCTCGGTCCCTTCCCAGATCACGTGGCTTTGACACAGTTGATTCAGGAATGGACCCCTGAGTCAAGCTGGATCCATCAGTATCCAAGCTGGATTCATCAGAGTTCTCCTGATGAATTTATGGATTTGGGACACAGAGAGATCAGTTTCTTGTTAGTATTGGGAAATCTAATATGGGAGCTGTCTATGGCAATGTTTCCCAATGTGGGCACCAGAGAAGCCAAGAGAGGCCTACCTACAGAGAGGAAGACTATAGCAGTTTCAGCAAGAAGCAGAATTAAGAAGTGCAGCGTCCTCATAGCTTTTAGTCTTTGCTTCCAGTTCCCCCTGAAGCCCAACTGCAGTATCTTCAGGGATCACAAGACATCCCATATTCTTATAACAATAAATAATTATTGAACTTGTATGAGCTTCTGTCACTTGCAACCAAAGTTCTAAAATAAAAATTATGTGCAAACTAAAAATTGAAGTGATATTAAGAAAATTCCTCAAGTTAGAAAGAACTTCCTAAAACAAATTAATAGATAAGACCTGATACTATTTTAAACAGCCACATTCTTCTAGGCTGTCAGAATAATCTGAACATCCTTAAGCAAGCTTAAATAGCAAATAAACGATGATGCTGTCACAGGTCCTTGTTAATGACAACTACACCTTGCTAAGAAGGCGATTGCTTATGAAAATAATCAAGTGGTCAAAATTGTCCTAAGGATACTAAAGAGTCTAAAATAGTTGAATATAATGATTGTAAAACTGATGCTAGAAATTCAAAGAAAGAGATTATAAAAGATATGGTCTTAATCATATTAAAAAGGAAAAAGGAAGTTCTGCTTCTACTTAGGATATAGAAGCTAAAAGTGAATATAACTCCCACCCTAACAAGGAGGAAAAAACTCACATTATTTACAAAATCACAAATTTTCTTGAGCCCATCAGAGACATGAGGCTGTAGGACACCAGGTGAGCTAAATTCCAAAGAGTGACAAGCCCCTCCGTGGAAAGACACACACACAAATTGTTCCACCTGTGGCAGAGCATGGGCGGAAGAGAAGGCTACCATAAAAATGGGTAAGAGAAAACAGCTATAATATTCGACAAATTTTAAATACTGAGTGTGGTTGGTACGACAGTTTAGAGTTCCTGGAGCCCCAGACACGAGGAGAGTAGGCACTCACTTGTAAGCTCTTTTCCACGGCGTCTATTAGTTAGTTGCACATGGAAACATGTGAGTCAGGGCAGGGGACCTGAAAGAGACACCTTTGGAGGCATGACACCTTTCATGTCTGCATGAAACTGTTAGCTTCTCGAACACTTCTCTCATATGCAGCAAAAGTCTTAAAAAGCCTTAAGCTGCTGTAGCTGAGGGAGAGGCACAAATAAAAAGCCATCTGTCCCTGAAGGAGTAACAGGAAACCTCCTGCCTGCACAGTGAGTCTTGTGCACAGCAGTCTGCCACTGGGGAGAGCAGCAAACCCTTTGCCACCAGGCCCAGGCCAAGTGCACTGCTGTTAAGGATGAGCAGAGGCATCAGCCACCTGGCCCTAGGGGTGAGGCAGGGAATCAGCTCTGGCAAAGAATCCTGCAGTGATACGAGGAGACATCTGTTCCCACTGGGAGAGAGGAAGGAAACGCTCTCTGACCTGAGACCACCCGCATATCGAAGGAAGAGTTTGGCTGCCCTGGGGAGGAGACGGACAGTAGCCCTGAGAAAAATGCAGCTCTGAGGTCCACGTGCATAGGGCCTGCCTAAGATTAAGGCTGGTCCAGAACAAACAAGAACCTCCATTTTCCTGTGAGTAACAGGCAACAGCAGTACAGCAATCTACCACGGGGTATGGTGGGCAGAGTGCGGAGAGCCTCTCTCGTGACACAAATGTGGAAGGTCTGCCGAAAGCTGAGCCTGGAGCAGAAACGTGGAGAAACCAGCCACAGCCACGCCAGGCCACGCTCGAGGCATGAAGCAGAGGAGAAGCTGGAGTGTTTGCAGTCGCTGGTGCACTGAAGGTGCTACAACACAGCAAAACTCAAACCACGCTCCACTACTAACTGGACTCGTTCAATCCCTCACACCAGTGACCTGATAGAAGAGGCATTACTATTTCTGGACTTAAATACTATTTAGCTCAGTCTCTTTTCTTCTTCTAAACATAATATCTGCGATAAAAAAAAAAAAAATTATGACACACAATAAAATAAGAAAGACACACACACACAAAATACCCAATGTCAAGAGAGAAAGCAGTCAACAGAGCCAGACCCAAAGATGTCCCCGGTGTTGGAACTATGAGGCAGGTGATTTAAAATCAATTTAAAAATTAAAATTAAAATGATTAATTGAGAAAACCATGCCAGGTGACTCTGCTGTGATAAGGTCCCCAACCTTCCACAGGTATGATAGTGCTGCACGTGGATTTTGTGTTAACAGGTGTCTGGGATTTTATAACCTTGGATAGAGGTTGGGTAAATGCTACATAATCAGAGTCAAGGCAGGCCATGCACGGGTCATTCTCTATTGTGCATCCAGCTGCAGATGGCTTTGCTTTCCATGCATAATAGATTTTCTATATGACTTCAAAATGGATATAAAAAAGCACCAGCAACCAAGATCCAGCAAATCCACATCTAGGAATTTATACTAAGAAAACATCAAAACAGTAAAAGATAAGTGCTCAAGGATGTTAACTGCAGAGTTATTTATTAGAGTGAAAAATGGGGGAAAATGCTAATCAGTAGGTGGTTGATAAAAAAACGATGGTACATCCAATAGTGGAATTGCTCTGCACACATTAAAAACAATAATGTACATGTATATTTTGACATTGACCAATGCAATATGTGTATTATGTAAGAAAGCCAAATATAAGTTAAAATTCCCATTTATATAAAAATTATAATATGCAATATCATATTATAATTCATGCATATATAATATAAAGTATATATGAATATACAGCATACATACAATTTATATTTTATCTATGATATTTACAAAAATTGTTAAGAGTGCTTTTTTTCTGGTAGTAGTAATTACAGATGGCATTTACTTGTTCCTTTAGACTTTCAGGAATTATCTTCATGTTTTACAACTGGTTCATATATTATTTTTAAAATAAGGAAAAAAATTGCAATAAAATGATGTGTGTTATGCAAAGAAACAAGAAAAGGACAGCAGCAGAGCTAGTGGTTCTGCAGGCTGTCAGGTGCAGGAGGGAAAGTAAATAAACGAGGTAAAGATTTCCATATTTTCTCCAGTTACCCAGGAAAGCATATGCCAATTGAAACAGAAAATAAAATTTACCATTTCAAAAACCAAAAATGTTTTACTTTCTGCCTGTAGATTACTTTAACAGCCAGTATTCTTAAATTGCAAGTGACAGAGACCCAACTCAAAAAGGTTTAGGCAAAGGAATATTTAGTAGCTCCTGGAATCTTAGGAAGGGTTGAATATCAAATGTAGGAAAGGCAGCAACACAGCTGGATCTCAGAAACGGATGGTATAAGGGACTGAAATGCCTCTGGGATTCTCTCTCTGCTTTATGTAGGCTGGTTTTATTTTCCTTCGCCTCACACTGTCTTTCCTGACAAGCCACGTGACATGGCCACCTACAAGTTCTAAGGCCTCACAGTCCCAGCCTCCCTATGTGACAGGGGGCCCAACCCTCCTCAGCTCTTGATGAGAACGTCCCACTGAAGAACTCAGGCTGACCCAATCGGCTGTGTACGAGAGAGAAGTTTAAGTAAGACAATATTAAATGAACTCGGTGGTTATTGTAGCCAAATGACCAGTTTCCAGAAGGAATTCTGTCCCCAAAAGACAAGTGGGCACATTGGGCAGACAAACAGTAGGTATTTACTATTCTGAAGTATATAATTGAGTTCAGAATCTTTATCACACTCCAACTTTTCCTAACATGTTATGTGATAGATTACTGAAACCACGTGTAAGCTGTAAAACCCTTTTATAAGTAGCATATGATGGATCCCATAAAGAATTTCTAGCAAACTAAAAAGAATTGTCGCATGATCTCTTGCATATCTGTTTGGAGGACCATATCACTTAAACTCCAATAAATTACAAAATCGATAACATAGAAAGCTTCTCTAAAATGGCAAAGCCTCCAAAATATTCCAGATACAGTTTCTGGTCTCTGAGTATGTATGATAATTGCAAACAGAGTCATATAAACTACAAATTGGATATAGGCAAGTGTTTTGGAAAGAGATATTCATTAAAAAAAATATGTCTTTTAAATGTTAGCCCAAGATGTAACAGCTGTGTCCATTGACTGAAAATGGCAGCTCGTAGGGTGGGTATGTCTGGGTGAAGAGACTTACAGACGTGTGCACACACAGTACTGGCAATATGTGCATCCACAGTTAATAGAGATTATATTTAGTAGGGGATTGTGAGTGCATAAATTTATTCTTGTTTGTTCATTATTTCTCAGTTGGCTCTAAGGAGTATTTGTTACATACACAATAAAAAAATTAGAAATGATTTTTGTTTTGTTATAGATGAAGAACTTCCATAAAGTGTTCAGAAGTAGTATACAGGTATTAATCACGCAAAACACCACAAATGCACTGCTAAAATATTATCAAATAATTTTGAGTATTCTATGGCACTATTCCAAGCACTCAAGCACTTTAATACATTTTTTAGTAATAGTAATAGAAATAGTCACTATCCAATTTGTACCTTTCTGAATTGTGGATTTTTACATGGCAAAGTCTCTCACAGGGGGCTATGTCTATATTCAATTTCCATAACAAGTGAATCCCAGGAAGATCCATGGCCTGCCCTATTAGATGCACTAAAATCCATGGGCAGTTTTAATTGTGAAAAGCTGCATATTAAGGGAAACCTGTAAGTGATTATTAAGCATGTTTCCTGCTATATAGTCTCTAAAATGCAGAGAAACCTGGTGGGTAGAAAACAGATGTCAAAAATGAGGACTATATTTCTACCTCATGCTTACAGACCTGTAGCCTCACACAGGGATCACCTTTCTTTGACAGAATCATCCATTCTCCTAAGAATCATAGGTTGGAAGTGCATTTTTGTTGTTGTTGTTGAGGAAGATCAACCCTGAGCTAACATCAATTGACAATCCTCCTCTTTTTGCTGAGGAAGATTGGCCCTGGGCTAACATCCATGCCCATCTTCCTCTACTTTATGTGGGATGCCTGCCACAGAGTGGCTTGATAAGTGGTGCGTAGGTCCGCGCCCAGGATCTGAACCTGCGAACCCCGGGCCACGGAAGCAGAGCTCCTGAACTTAACCACTATGCCGCCACTGGGCCAGCCCTGGAAGTACATTTTTTTAAACTTATGTTAAATTATGAAAGGGGATACAGCTGATTTTAGGTTGCTCGGTTCATATTCAAACAGCTGATCTGCCCTTGACCTTGAATTGTTACATCAAAACATCGTTAAGGCGGTAGGACATTGAAAGGAAGAGCCAGTGCAGTTTTCCCCATTCATATTCACAGATACGTACTCTCCAGGGATGGCACTAGTTCACTTTGTTCCAAGAAGCGATTGCCCTTGTTTAGAACTTCATGGAACACTTACTGACAGCCCAGCACTGAGAAATGATTCCCCCCTTATCAGTCTGGTGGAGAACAACTTGACAAAAACCTCCCTCTCACCGTACAGAAATAAATCTGCACCTAACACCAGAGAATCAATAACATATCAATGTGTTCAACTCTCTCACATGGATTCCTCTGTGTCCTACTCTGTTCAGAGCAAAGAGCTTTCACTCACATCAATCTACTATAACAATAATGCACGCTGCAGTAGATCATTACTCTATGAGCCGGTAGGCATATGCTGATGTTATCAATTCCAGACGAAGAACAACCATGAAGTGACAATGCTGCCCAAGGATGGCAGCTGCTGACAATGGAGAGAACACCTCAAAGAAAAGGCCATTACATAAACTCTGAAGTACTCTAACCACGCACTACATAAGATGCAATAAATAACAATCACAGAGTCATATTATCTCTTTGTGACCATTATTCACCTTCGGTTAGATGCACAGGGTCCAGTAACAGGACTTTTCTTTTAAGAAGGTGAAACCGTTCAATATTTTAAAGTAACATTAAAAGAGATTCAAGGAAGCAGTCCCAATCTTTACAGTTTGCAATAGCTTAGGCTGAACTCAGAGAAGACAAGGATTTGATAGACATATTAATCCACAGGACTTTTTCATTTTCCTGCAAAAATTAAATAGATGATCATGCTCTGGTAATTACATACATCTCGACTTTTTTTTTTTTTTTTTTTTTGGTGAGGAAGATTGGCCCTGGGCTACCATCCGTGCCCATCTTCCTGTACTTTATATGCGGGACATCCACCACAGCAGGGCTTGATAAGCGGTGCGTACATCCGCTCCCTGGATCCGAACCTGCGAACCCTGGGCTGCATGCGAACTTAACCACTATGCCAACGGGCTGGCCCCTATCTTGACATTTTTTTTATCAAGTCAACCAAGGTAGTAGATTGCGTGTCCTTCTTTGTCAACAGAACAGCAGTGAATTTCTGTAAGTACCGTGAAAGAATGGAGAGCCTGTTCCTTCTTTGGAAAGTTTCTGAATTTTATAAATAGTTTCCAATTCCATATAAGGCTTCGGAGAAAGAAGGAAGAAAAACATAAAAATCTAGAGATACCTTTAAACCAAACTAGGAGCTGTCATAAATATAAAGAAACTGGTGTCACTAAATGCCATAAACATTTGGTGACAACGAGGGAAGAATAGCAGTGCAGGGAGTTTGGGGAAAAGCAAAACCAAGCTGTGCTGCTCTTGGGAAGGGCTGCTAGCCTATCAACTTTTTTTAAAAGAAATAAATTGACCTGCTCTCCAAGTGACGATGACATCACAATTTATTCTTCTTCTGCTTGTTGCGTTCCATGATAGACTCGCAACCTCTTCTATTAGAGCTCTCTTAAAAACAGGGTACTTTCTACTTGATTAAATGTGACACCAGCAAACTGTAAGAAGAGCCTTCTACACATCTTTAAACAGAAGAGAGAGAAGATATATCGTACAAGTTTATCTTACCGTAAAGCTTTTGGCCCAAAGTACATAAAGAGCTCCTTCCCCAAAGTTTCCACGCCACCGTAAACGCATCCATTAAACAGTCTCAAGAAATTCTGGCTGGAATCTTTATTATTATTCAGTGCAGCAGCCTATCAGAAAATACATACACACATGTAAACACATACAAACTCTAAACAAATTATAATTTAATTCTTAAACGTATTTATAGTACTTCACGCCCAGGTGCAACCCAATGAGAAGAATAATCTCCAACAAGTCAAGTAATGTAATCAGCTGTTTACATACATTTTGTCAAATTACTATGCAGTCATTTGAAAAGAGAGAGGCCAAAAAAATTAAGTGAAAAAAGTATTTGGCACACAATCAAAATGAGTTTCTTCCAGGACCTTATAGCTCTGCACATTGAAAGGAAAGCATAGAAAAATGACGTGAATGTTTTAAAACTAAAAACTAGGATACAGTCTTCCATTTCCAGAAGTATAGCCAAGGTTCCTGAAAGAGACTTCAGATCAAGACAGCTAAAAATGGTGGATAAAATATGAAAACAAAATATTTTGACCTGCAGTGATGAATGCATAAGCCAGTAAGGAATAATAAGAGGTCAGAAACCCTTGCCATTTGCAACGACATGGATGAATGTTGGGGGCATTATGCTAAGTGAAATAAGCAGACAGAGAAAGACAAATACTGTATAATTTCACTTACATGTGAAATCTAAAAAAATAAATGAACCAACAAAACAAAACCAGACTCGTGGACACACAATAGATTGGTGGTCACCAGATGGGAGCAGGGTTGTGGGGTGGGCGAAACAGCTGAAGGGGATCAAGAGGCACAAACTTCCAGTTATAAAATAAATAAGTCACAGGGATGTAACGTACAGCATGGGGACTATAGTCTATAATATTGCATTAACTTTGTATGGTGACAGAGGGTAACTAGACTTATTGGGGTGACCATTGCGCAAGGTATATAAATGTCAAATCATGAAGTTGTACACCCCAAACCAATATACTATTGTATGTCAATTATACTTCAACTAAAAAACAAAAACAGGGCCGGCCCTGTGGCATAGCAGTTGGGTGGGCGCACACCACTGCTGGCGGCCCCGGTTCAGATCCCACGCGCACTGACCGGCCGCTTGTCAGGTCATGCTGTGGCGGCATCCCACGTAAAGTGGAGGAAGATGGGCACGGATGTTAGCTCAGGGCCAGTCTTCCTCAGCAAAAAAGAGGAGGATTGGCATGGATGTTAGCTCAGGGCTGATCTTCCTTACCAAAAAAAAAAAAACAAAAAAACACACAAAAACAAAAACAAGTAAAAGTGGGAGAGAACCCCAAAGGTAAGAAGCATCCTGAAGCCAGCTTTTATCAGAAAGGCATTTACCGGACCTAAGGAACGAGAGCTCCAGTTTTCACAGTCTTGTAGGATGTGGGGGATCAGAGATAAAGCCTGGGGTTCCCCTGAGTAGGGGAATCTATTACAAGCCTGCTTCTCTCTTTCTCCCCAATCACAATGTTAAAAATGAAGGAAAAAGAAACCCACTACTCTTTCCCCCATCATGATATAAAACCAAACAACATATTGTTAGGATTACGATAAAGGTATTGAACACTGTAAAGAAGATCAAGGAAATCACGAACATAAAACAGCAGTCCTTCTGTGGGCAAGGGAAAGGGATGGGATTGTGTTTAGACATTGGTAACGCTCTTTGTGTCAAGCTGGATAGTATATATACTGGTGTTTTTTGCATTATTTTTTTTTATTCTTGAGATATGTTTTATAAATATTATTTAATTTGCACTCAAAATGTAATAAAAAATGTAAAACTATTATAAATGCATAACTATTATGTAAGATACAATAGGTACCCATAATTATATTTACACATTAACTCTTCATCTAAGATAATATCCTCACATACTTCTAACTGTTTCCTGTTTCTCAAGTGGACCTAAGGATTCTCAGAAGATCCAGGATGAAATCTGGATGGGGGGCTAGGTGGTGAGGAAGGGGTGTGTCTGGGAGATAATTATAAAACAGCTTTAGACACAGCCTAGGAGCAAATCACAACTTTCCCTCCACTTACAGGAGAATGACACTTAAGTGATTCTGAAACTTCTGGTTTAGAGACATCTATCATTCTAAATATTTACGATGATATGTCCACTCTATTCTTTATTTTACTAAATTGGCCCTTGTTAAAAAAGACACAACTCTAGTATTTAGTTCAAAGGGATAATAGGTATTAAAAAAAGATTGAGAATAGCTAGAGACTGACTTGTGCCCCCTCCAACATTCATATGTTGAAGTTCTGAAGCTCTAACCCCCAATGTGATTGCATTTGAAAATAGGGCCTTTAACAGGAAACTAATGAGGTCATAGGGGTGGGGCCTCGATCCAATAAGATTAGTAACCTTATAAGAAGAGACACCAGAGTCTCTCCCTCCTGTACGCTCAGAGGAAAGGCCACCTGAGAAGAAAGTAGACTTCTGCAAGCCAGGAAGAGAGCTCTCACCAGAACTCAAACTGGCTGGAACCTTGATCTTGGACTTCTAGCCTCCAGAACTGTGAGAAAATACATTTCTGTTGTTTAAGCCACCCAGTCTACAGTATTTTTATTATGGCAGCCTGAGCAGACTAAGACAAGAACAGACACTATTCTTCCACTAAATCCATTCACAGTTGTAATGACCACAGCCAAGGCTAGAATTTCCCAACTGCCTGAAGTTCAGGGAACTGCCTTTACAGCCCTCCTTTGCATAATAAGAACTGGGGAATCAATCGCAGGCTTAGAGTGACCAGTGAATAAATGCACAGAAGTCATTAAAAGTGACAGCCTTCCAGTTCTGCACAAATCACAGAAAGAAGCTGTGGGAGATCCTAGCATCAGGAACTATAGCTACACATGTCACCACGTCCTCAGAACATCTGCCTCTGATTCCTCTTCTCTTTCTCGGCTGAACTCGAGGGCTGACCACTGATTACCAAGCACTGGCCCGGCAGGCTTGAGTACTCAGTGAAGGAAAATATACTTTCACATTGGCCTTGTTTTTGCAGATGAATGTTAGAGCCCTGAAATGAGAAGCATCAAGAATCTTGATGTTTTTCTGCCTAAAGACTTTATGTTGCCACTTACATACACTTCAAGCCAAGTGTAGACTAAGATGGTAGGTTTCAATGTAGGTTTCCATGACAACCAATTAGTAGGTAAAAAGTTCTTATAAACTCGCCAGGACACTTAAAACAACGTATACAGAGCAATACAGATCTCTTATGAGTAAACTTTGCCTCAACATAGATTAGGTCTTATATTTCAAGGATCTCGGATTTAATGTCTTAGTGACATTTTAAATCTTCATTTCTAAATTAATAGTTCAGAGCCTGCTTCCCCACCACTCCGAAGTCAACAATCTCTTATCCTCTCCCAATATTCTTTACTAGCAATGGGCTTTAACCTTGCCCTCTGAAGTCCTGGCTTCTGTTAGGGTTCCCAGCAGAGGCTGGGTGATGAATCCGAACCTGTTGCGTACATACAGCCCTGGACACCATAGTAGCTTCCCCCACTTCTTGGTTGGGGCGCAATTTGCTGCTACTGCCAGCCCAGTAAGTCTACAACTCAACATCTATCCAATATGTTGGGAAAGGTACTCATGCACAGTCTGTCACACCCCTCCATCCCCTTGGCCACATAAGAATAGGACTTGGGCCTGGAACATTTCTTTTCTGGAAGATAAAGAGCCCTCAGCCTGTGCTGGGTTTATTGCCTTGGGAGGGAATAACTTTCCCTGTTCCAGGCTTAATGTATATTCCTATGTTCTGCTTAAGCACGTGTGTTCATCAATGGCCCTCAGGCGCACCCCAGCTTTTTGTATTTCAGACCCCAGGGGGAGGGTTCAGTGTCCTTCCACTGGAGCACAAAGTGGGGTGGGTGTAGTCACACTGTGGATCATATCCACTGGCCATTGGGGATGGAAGCATTGCAAGGAGCTGGATCTTGTGCACACTCTCTCCTCTTGCTATAAGTAGACGCTGTACCACTTGAACCTACTGTGCATGTTGACCTTTCTTAGCAACTTGGAACCAGACACTGGTTTCTTCCAGTGGCAATTATCTGCCTTTTACCCTTGGCCACTCTCATGTTATATTCTATCCTTTGGCACAGCCTGACCACTCAGTGAACACTGAAACACAATATCTGAACAGTCAATTGAAAAATTCTTCTGTCAGCTGCCACATCACTGTTTCTCACTGTACTACCCTAAATCTAATTGCCCCATTTTGCTCCTTTCCAAAATGGGAAACCACATGACTGAATTGCTCCCACTCAGCTACTTCTCTGTTCCCTTCTTTCCTCTACTTAATTCTGACTTTTCCACGTTTTATAATGGCTCCTGGCAAAGAGGCAGACAAGGTAACCTTGAAATAGACAGTGCTGTCACACACCTAATAAAACAGTAAATGAGTCCCAATTGTCTGATGTGAAGCCTGCTCACATTGCTAAATTAACAGCTTTGACAAGAACTTACACCATTTAGTTGAAAACTCTCAGTCAACAGCTATCATAGTTCATGTTATTCACCTGGCTGTGTCTAAAACTCTGACATCCTCTGACAACAAAGGTGGCATGCGACATGTGGAAAGACACTCCTCCACATTAAAAATGCAACATTCATGGCTGTCTACTTGGATTCACTCATTTTAGAAAAGTTTATTGACCTTCCACTAGGTATTAGGCCTTGATCTAGATGCTGGGGATTTATCAGTGAAAAAAATAATGAAAAACCTCCTGCCTTGACGGAGTTTACATTCTACTGGGGAGTGATAGTAAACAATAAACAGAATAACAGTATATTAGAAAATTTTGAAAAAAAATTGTGATGAAAAAGAGATCAAGATTAGGTGAGGGAGTCACAGGTTGCAATTTTAAATGGGGCAGTCATAATCTCATTGGGAAAATGATACTGGAGCAAGTCTTAAGGGAGTTGTGAGTGAGCCAGGATCCAGGCAAAAGAAACGGCAGTGCAAAGGCCCTATGCCACACAGACAGGATGGCTAGAGCACAGAGAACAGGGGAAGATGGTAGAAAGATGAGGTCTGACAAGATAAGAATCAGATCGTATGGCCC